CAAGAGAGATGTTATCAAGTCACTCAGGACATGGTCAATAATGGTCAAGCTGGGCAGAGAGATCCAAGGTCACTTCTTGGAGGAGGCAGGACACAGAAGAGCCTGGAAGCCTGCAATGGAATATGCAACAGTAGAGAGAGGGAAGATGAGTGGAAAATCTTAGAGACCAGTGTGTGAATGGGGCTTTCTATGAAGATGGAGATGGTTTGGACCTGGTCGGAGAGGGTATATCAATTTGGTGAGTTAAGAGAGTCACGCAGGAGATGGAGTCTTAGTAACTCTTATAAATTTCTTTTTTTGTTAAAAAGAGCTAAATGGATTATGTTGTCAGCAACTAAAAGCTATGACTGAGACTGTCAGCATGTTCTACAAATGGTGCTGGAGGAGCCATACATTCCATATCCGTGTCTTATTGAAACTCCTTTAATGGTTCCCTCATATAGGGCCAATTCTTCTGTAAAGACTTCCCCCTGTACTAACATCCTGTGGGTCCATTGTGGCTCTCATTGATCTGGCCTATGCTCATCTTCTATCTGCTCACCCACTGTCCACAGGCTTCCTGCCAACGCCTTTCCACTCCCACATCTGTTCTCATGCTTAGGTCTTCTCTCCTCATCTCCAATACTTAAAAGCCTCACTCCAAGGCTCTCTTTTCCTCAATGACTTCCCTTCATCCCAGGCAGAGCTAACCGACCTCCAGATCCTGTGAGCTCCCAGAGCTCATGATCCTTCTGTCACGCTGTCCTCCTTAAGACTGGTCTCTGACCAGAGGTACAGAAAAGCATCACCTGAGGAGTTTTTCTGCAAAACATCTAGGCTGAGACTGGGGATAAAGCTTATGGTAGAGCATTTGCCTAGCATATTGCCAAGGTCCTGGTGAGATCCCAGTACCATCCAGACAAAGCAAACCATACAGGCAGTGATGGACATGCTCATCATCTTGACTATGGTGATGGTTCAACAGATGTGTACATGTGTCAGAGTCCAAAATTATACACTTTAGATATCAGCAGGTGGGTTTTTTTTGTGTGTATTTCAATTATGTCTCAATAAAGTTTTTTTTAAGCATCACTTCTAGGAACTTAAAAAACATTAAAAAAAATCCACTACAGGTAGCCTCAGATATACTTTTCAGTAGTTCTGTGGTGGAACCTAGGGGTGGGGACTTTGAGAAAGCTCCTAGAAGACTCAGGTGTACTGTCCTGGCAAAGAACCACTGTGTTAGAGGGGGTGGCCTCTGTGTCTGCCTCCTTCATAAACTCTTCACAGGCTACCTCAACAGCTACTGTCACATTCTGTAAAGAGGGCTTGTTCTGGATTGAGAGGGTTTGGTCCAGTTATTCCATTAAGATTAGACATGAGCTTACGTGTTGTACAGTTCTAGGCTCCTGCCCACAAATAAGCTGTTGTGCGAAAGCTGCAGAACTTGCTAAGAATGCCCAGGCCCTATAGAGAGAAAAAGGCATAACTAGAGAGTAAAAGGCATAACTCCTGACCTAATCCAGGGAGTGGGGCAATGCTAAATATGTATGTTCAAAAATATATGAAATCCCATTTATCCTGAGTTGTTTATAGCAATATAAAGTGAACCATAAACACAAGTTACATATATGTTTACTAGTAGCCACATTAAAAAAGTAAGAGAGAACAAGTGAAATCAATTTTAACAACTTATTTAACAAAGTATATCCAAGGTACCATTTCAAGGTCTCATACAAAAAGTGTTAACTAAGTAGTGCAATTCTTTTCTCATACTAGGCATATGAGATCCGGTGTGTTTTACCTTTACAGCATAGCTCAGTCTGGACTAGCACATTTCAAACACTTCACAGTGGCTAACACCACCTTCCTAGATAAGACAACCACAGCCCGGAGAAAAGCCATGCTGTTTTAATGGGGATTGGCCACTGGGAGGAGCTGGTGCTCATTTTGATCAGCACTTGAGAAAAATCTAGATGCTTGAGAAAGCCAGGTGACTTGTTAGCCCTCTCCTTGCCTCGCCCCAACTCTTCCCTGAGAAGACCCATTACGAAGAACTGCTGCTCGGACTCTGCACAGACTTCTGGAGCACAGAAGGTGATCTTTCAGACCCACGTGGGTGGCTGGGGCATTGGGGCAGTTCATCTGAGCCAGAGAACAAGCAGGAATGCCCGCGGGGACCCAGCTGCTCTGAAGCTCTGTCCGGCTTCCAGGTGACCCAGCATCTCATGGCGCCTGGGGGAGAATTCTTTGCAGAATTTAACTAAGGCATTTAAATATCCCAGCAGATGCTATCAAAGCTTTATTAGAAAAAGACGGACTATCTACCTGTGACCCACTTTTTAAGGAAAAAAAAATTTGAAAAGAAACATGAGGTGAATTAATCTGGTAGGACCCACAGGATGGAAAGACCATAAGAGATGCCGAAGGGTTCATCCTTGTGCAATGAGGCAGAGTCAGAGGACAACAGACTGGGCTGGAAGCCACATCCTCCATCCCATCTGAAGTCTGAGCATCCTCTATGGAATTTCCTCTAAAGTTCACACTGAGTAGCAAGGAAGTGGGAATTCACTTTCTCTCAGGCAGCCCCTTTCTCATGTTTGAAAGATGCATTACTGACCCACCACCATGTTTATCTCCAACTCTGTATGCCTGAGGTGGGGATAACCAGTGCCCTTTGGTCCTGCTATATGTCACCATTCATTCCACTGGAGTGTCTGGTGCCCACCTCTCTTCTCATTGTCTTTTGTTTCAATCTTTGCTTGTTCTAGTCAGTTTTATGTCACTGTGAACAAAAGACCCTATAAGAACAATCTCCAGAAGAAAAAGTTTATTTTGGCTCACAGTTTAAGAGGTTCAATCCGTGGCTGGCTGACTCCACAGGTCTGGGCCCAAGATGAGGCAGAACATCATGACTGAAAGGTGTGTCGGAGAAAAACAGCTCAGGACATGACAGCCAGGAAGTAGAGAGAGAACTCTGCTTACTTGGGACAAAATGTAGATTCCAAAGACATGCCCTCAATGATCCATTTCTTCTCTCCACACACCTTGGCTACAATTACCACCCAGTTAATCCATAGCAGTGGGTTAACCCACTGATCAGGTTAAGTTTCTCATAACCTAATCATCTCACCTCTAAACATTTTTACATTGTGTCACACATGATCTTTTGGGGGACACCTCATAACTAAACCATAACACTGCCTATACCTGATCTTTTTAAAATTCTTTATTCAAGCATCTTCTGAAAATGCTATAGACCTGTTGCCAGACTCAATCTTCTGGGACTTTAGGGAGCAGAGGGATACTTCCTAGGTTCATTCCTCCAGTAGTACCTTTTCCTGGGGTATGGGGGATGGGATTGGCCATTTCTTCCTAACCTACAGGCAGAGTGGAGAGGTCTGTTTTTTCACTCAGGAATGGTGCAGTGTGTGGGTGGGTGTCACTAAAAATGTGTCTTTTATTAGTTAAATTGTGATGATGGGACCTTGCTAAAAGATGGTTTCAAGTGATATAATTTAAAATGTTTCTGTGATGTCTGTTCTCTTGCTCTAGGCACATCTAGGATAGCCTGACATTGTCAAATCACTCTGAAACCAGTGTGACAGAAGTCTTCATCTTTGGGCGGGGTTGTGGCTCAGTGGTAGAGTACTTGCCTGGCATGTGTGAGGCACTGGGCTTGATCCTCAGCACCACACAAAAATAAATAAAATAAAGGTATTGTGTCTGTCCACAACTAAAAAATATAAAAAGAAGAAGTCTCCATCTCCATATTATATCATGAATTGAAACTCCATTTCTGGAAGTAAACTTTCTGGTCTTTTTTTTTTTTTAATAAGAATCTCTCATACAGGGACAAATGAGGAAGACCCACGTTGTCTGCCTCATCTGGGGACCCCAACATGGAAGGAGATGTACCAGCAGCCTTACCCCATCCACTTTGGAAGAATGCACTCACACTTGGGAGGCTCTCTCTTCCTTCTGAACCTCCCGGGCCCCAGTTAACGCTGAAGGCAATGTTCAAGATAGTTAAGAGGCTACATGAAGTTAGTGTTTATTCCTAAGTTTGAAAATGAATTCTCCACTTACTTAGTGAATAAGGTGGTGGTGGGACAATCCAGCATATTTTCATTCACCTCAGAATGTTAGGGTCCCATAAATTTTTATAGACTTAAAAACTAATTTTTAGATATCTTCTTTATGATAGAATGGTTTGACTGGGCAGCAGAACTGTATTTGTTGCTGCTGATTCATAGTGCCAGCGTGTGTGTGTGCTCAGAGGAACAGAAGATGGCATTTGTTTCCTCCCAGTCCCAGTGACATTGGGTTAATACTTTCAGGTTAGCAAAAGCAGCACATTTTGCTTTGTATCTTTTTAATTGCTACTGAAGATCTCATTATCTCTCCAATTAAACATCTGCAGTCTTCATTTTATCTGAACCACATATTTTTGAGTAAATTTTGAGTATATTCATTTTGGTAGTAAACTCTATCGGCTCTAGCAATCTTTCTTCTTTCTGCTCCTTCCCTTTTAATGTTTTGTGCTGTCAGGAGCTGCTCTGGAAATACATGCCCTTAAGTCCTGAGCAAGAGATACTGAACAATTATTGCGCCCCACAATAACTTGGGCTTTACCTCAGATAATGAGGCGTGGCTCCAAGAGTAAGTGACACCTGGTGGGGTTGAGCTACACTCACCTGTTCCTTTGCAATCCTACCCCTTTGCCCTTTTTTGGATAGAATAGGTTCAATGGAACCTCCCCTTGTGTGTCCCCTATATAAGAATAAAAAATTCTAGTGTATCTCTCTCTTTCCATGGACCCCTAAGGTCACAGAGCTGTCCCCGGATTTTGAAAAAATACTTCTGTGTGTTTGTGGGCTTTCCTCACCATTTTCTTAAATTATTGGAATACTCATATTTTGTGAACCCAGCATTAGGTCACCAGCTAGGATGGCGATATTGTGCATTTTCTTATATTTCATATTCATAGTATCACAGAACATTAGTTCCTAGTGTAGTACTCAGCAGGTGTTTATTAATTGAAGATATGTTGAGTTCAAACTTGAAGAAGCTGGCAATCCAGTCCAGAAAACCAAATATTTACATGTCAAGATGAAGTTCAGAGCTGGTCTTAGTGCCACATGCCTGAAGTTGTGGCTACTCAGGAGGCTGAGTTAGGAGGATTTCTTGAGCCCAGAAATTTAAGACCAGCCTGGAAAACATAGCAAAATCCCATCTCAAAACAATAACAAGAATAACAAAACAAAAAACTTGAATCTTAGAACAATTCAGTGACTTATCCAAGGTGGTTACTAATAAATCTAGAATATTGAGCTACACCTTAGTATGTCTAGAAAAGTTCCAGCTACCATCCCCCAAACCTCAACTTGAGGGCAAAGTTTCTCAATCTTGACACTATTGACATCTAGGACAGATAATTCTTTGTTGTGGAGGGCTCTTCTATGTGTGATTGAATATTTAATACTATTTCTGGCTCTTATCCTTTAAAAGCCAGTAGGAAATGGTCTTTACACCTAGGTTGTGAAAATGTGGCAACTAAAAATTTCTCTAGACATTGCCAATGAGAACCACTGCTCATCAGAGTTAAACACTTCCTTGATTTTTTTGGGAGTTTTCTCTGGCAGAAGTTTAGAATTAGAGACTGGAGCCAGGCGTGGTGGTACATGTCTGTAATCCCAGCAACTCAGGAGGCTGAGGCAGGAGGATTGCACGTTGGAGGGCAGCCTCAGCAATTTAGCAAGGTCCTAAGCAACTTAGAGAGGCGCTGTTTTATAATTAAAAAGGAGGCCGGTGATATGGCTCAGTGGTTAAGCACTCCTGGGTTCAATCCCAGGCACCAAAACAAAACAAAAAACAAAACAGAATTAGAGACTGGCACTCCTCTCAGGAAGCCAGAAAATATGGAAAAAATCCAAACTGCTCCATCCTGCCTCTGCAGAACCAGGAATGGGTGTTGTGAACTCCCATCAATCATCTATCATCATGTCTGAGTCAGCCCTTCTTCTACAGGCTCACAGGGCTGAAATGGCAGGCAGGGAATGGATAGGGCATGAGGTCGGGCAGATGACGGGGCTTAGAAGATAGGCACACTTGCTGTAGCCAGAAACTTCTGGACAATATGTAGGCAACAATTCAGACCCCAGTAGAATGTGACGCAGAGAACTGAGCAGGCCTTCCCAAAGAAGTGAGCGTGAAAGTCCTGGGTGAGATCAGCACCGCGGACAGCTCCAAGGGAGGCTGGATTTCCAGACACTAGGTTCAGTCAAAGGAATCCTTAAGGAATCCTTTCAAACATAGGCATACCCTGAATACCCTTTCCCCTACTTAGCCCTTCCGCCAGGACCTGAGTGCTTTTGAACGACAATGTTGAGTACATTCATTACTAAAATAACCTTCACCACTACGCTATGAGATTTCGTATGAGCCTAATATCACAGATGTTATGGATCTGGAAGCAGGCTCAGTGTTATACAGATAAAAAAAAAATCAAAGGTGGGATCAGGGAGACTTGCTTCAACTCTGGTGTTTCGCCAATATATTCTCCCCCAGTCAAAGATTAAAGCATCACAACCTCTACGAAGAACTTCCAGAAATGTGCTCTCTCCAATAGAATCAGCCACTTCCTCCCCTGCCCCTCACTCTCTGAAGCCATGCCTCATACACAGTCCACTAGAATATCCACAATATCCTACACATGTTTACATGTTGTCTATACTCCACAGCAAAACAGAACAGGAGAGAGTCCATAAATATAACATATTAACTTAGAACTCATTAGGTGTCAGATTCAATGCCAAGTGTTAGGGATTCAGAGAGACCAAGACAGACAGCACCCCACCCTTTATACAGCAAGCTGGAAGATAAATAAATAAGTTACTACAGTAAAATTCAGAATGCATTTTAAGAAGGGAAAGCAACAGGATCAGAGAAAGATTTTAGATTTTCGTTTTCAATAAAAATAATACATACTTATTATAAAAATCAAGTAATACAAAAGAATAGAAAAATGAAGTTTAGAATATAACCCCTTCACCACATTTGATACAGGGACTGGCTGTTAACACTTTGGTATATGGTCTTTGAGAACTTTTTCTAAACATACACAAAGATAGCAATGTGATTCTAGAAAATGGGAGCATGCTCTACAGATTGTACTGTAGTTTGCTTTCTTCATTTAACACACTAAGGTCACCTTACTAAAATGTTAGTAGTGATTAAATTATTTTTTAGAGCTGTCTATATTATATTATCTGTATATACAAGAATATACTTATTTTGCCAGTTTGATGTGTTATAAATGAATCATTCCTTCAATTAAAATTTTTATTACTGAATTTGAACACTTTCAAGTTTTTCTGGGATCTGCCTATTCATATTATCAATATGAATGTGAGAAACATCAATGATTTCAGCACAGAATGCCATTCGGAATGCCAAAGAGGCATGCTTTTATCCTCTGAAGATTTCCTGCATGTTCCAGTCTTGGAAGTAGTGGGGATATTAGTGAATATACACCTGAGGAGATGCCATACTGAGCTAATCCACATACTCTTTTGTCACTTTAATAATATTCCAGTGTGAAATAAAATCTGAGATTGTCATCCCTTTATAATCCTATACTTACTACAAAACAGACCACAATTAACACCAATATTTTCTTTACATCTTCATGTATGTGTGTATGTGCAAGTATGTGTATATGTATGGACATTACATTTTTTTGTACACATTTTGTATTTTCCCAAGCTGCTCAATACCAAATCACATGTATGGAGTATAACTTACATAATTTGTTCCCTTATGTAGGACAATTAATTTTTCATTTATCCCCATTATAAAAAATGCCGTGAATACATAAGTCCTTTGGCCCGACAATTCTATTTCTATTAACTTAACCCATAGATAAAATGAGCACATTTACAAAATGATGTTATGTATAGGATTATTCACTGCAGTGTTATTTGGCTATTGTGGCAACTCTTTTGCTAATATAAACAATCTAAATGTTTAGTAATAAAGTTCTGTTTAAGTAAGTTAGGGTCCAGGTTTTCCTAGGTACAATAAGGTATCTGAAACAATATCCAAAATATATTATGCAAAAAAATTAAGGCAGAGTCATATGCTACCATTTGTAAACAAAATAGGAAGGTGTGTGTAACTCATAAATATACACACATTTGCTGCATGTGCAAAGAATACTTCCAGAAATATATGCAAGAAACTGATAACACTGGTTACGTCCAGGGAAAGAAAATAACTTCATAGAGGGACAGGTATGGATGGGAGATTATTTGTTGAAAAGTCTTTTGTGTCATTTGAGCTCTGAACCATTTAAATATAAATTTATATTGTAAATATGAATGTGAGGTCAACAGAGAAGTGTCAATCATTTCAGCAAGGAATGCCACTTAGAATGTCAAAGAGGCATTCAAAAAAAGTTAAAATTCAGCTGGGAGTGGTGGTGCATGCCTGTAATTCCAGCTACTCAGGAGTCTGAGGCTGGAGGATCACAAGTTTGAGGCCAGCCTAGGCAACTTAGTGAAACCCTGTCTCAAAACAAAATTTAAAAAAGGACTGGGATGCAACTCAGTGGTAGAGTACCCCTGGGTTCAATCCTCATGACCAAAAAACAAACAACAGCCCACAAAACTTTAAACTCATTTTAATTAAAAATAAAAATTATGCATATAATTTTTTGATCTGCATTTATGACTATTAAGATAGACTTCAAGAAGTGTAATTGAAAGATGAGAGTGGGACTATTTTTAAGGCTCTTGGGGGTACTGCTAAAATATTTTATGGAAAGATTATTCCAATCCAATGCCTGTCAGAATTTTCTCATAATCTGACAGTTATGACAGATGCTGCTGATTGTCTGTGCAATGTCCACTCTTTTCTTTTCTTGCTAACAAAACCCTGATTTTGTTCAGAGTGGCAGTGTCTCCGCCTACATCTACTTGGCCTTCTCTGTACCCTGAAAGGACACAGCACAGTTCTGGTCAAGGAGATGTAGGTGTAAGTTGCTGGGCAGGCTTTCAGGAAAGTTCTGTACCAGGAGGTAAGCTGAATTACAGTAAGTTTTTTGCCTTTTTAAAATTTTTAGGTTGGAATCAGGATCTATGCTACAGGTCCTAGCACTGAGCAACCAAAAGACACTGAGCACGAGGACAAAAGCCACCAGGGGAGGATGGGGAGGCAGAAAAAGTTTCCTGGTGACACCACGCAGCCACCATCCTAGCTCTGGGCTGTCTCTGCCTCTTTCTTCTTATTACCTAAGAAAAAGAAGACCTAAGTCATCGGTTTTCTGTTCTGAATTTTCATCCGTGTTCCTAACTGGTTCAACAAGAAGGATTCTGTATGTCTGGATGTGAAAAGTCATGCCCAGAGGAAGACCTGGAGAAGATAAGAAAGATGGACACGCAACGAAAACACAGCTTCGCCTTTAAAAATGAACGAAAGAACAATGAAAACACAGGTCAGGAAGATGATATGAAGATGATAAGGGGGTCTGAAGGTGTTTCCGCTAATGACTTCAGTTGCTTCCGCTGTCCAGGTAGGATCAGGAAGCTACTTTAATACTTCAAAAGGAACTGTCCTGGCCACTAGAGAGCCAGGCAGTTGCAAGATCTCCTTGCTGCCAGTTCTTACCAGGCTCAGCTCTTGATTTTCATCCATCAATCTTACTCCAGTTTAAAGGTCATGCCTGGTTTGAAGGTCTGACTCCTTGGTCATTGAGAAAGGCAAAGAAATTGAGTGACTGTGCTGTAAACAAACAGATTTCAAAAATTCAGTCTCAGGCTCCGGTATCTTCAACGTCTCTAAAGATGGGAAAAAAAATGTTACACTGTATTGTTAAGAAAATGGGTGGAAAAAAGATGAAGAAGAAGAAGAAGAAAGGAAAAGAAAACTGGCATGTTCAGTACAGATGCAATTTTCATCAGTAGTTTGTTGGATCCACACTGGGAGAAATGCCCATTCATAACTCTAAAGTCTAATGTTGGTCAAAAGACCAGAAACATTTTATCCTTGTGCTTGAAGAAGCAGAGAAAAAGTATATCTCTTGAAGCTGAAGCCCACACTTTGAAGTATTTTATGAATTCCACAGTTTTTAGCAATTTTAAGGAGCAGTCATGCCACCTGGTGGATTTCAGGGGTGAGAAGTTGCCCATACCCACTAAGACCAAGTTCCTCTAATTCTCCAGCACCACGCCTCTCCACAGTTTCCTCTGAACAGGCTCAACTGGTCCCAGTCCAACTCAGAGAAGTCCAAGCACACCCATGAGAGTTACTGCCTCCTGAAACACAGAGTATTTTCTTCCTTAATAACCAACTATCCACACAAACATCCCACAGAAAAAGGGGAACCAGCACCTTGCAACACAGACAGGAAGAAATTCAGAGGGTGTTTGTTTCTTTCTTTTTCTTATTATTATTTCCGGGAGGCTAATATTCCATAATTATGTAAAAACTCCCTGAAAAAGGTAAAGATGAAGGTAATAAACTAAATGTGCACAACCAATTCTGATTCCTCTAAATCCTACTAAAATTGCAGTAGAGTGATTTTTTTTAAAGGCAAAAAAATGAGACACAGCTCAAGGACAGGGAAATAAGACAGCATACAGGAGGAGTGGTGACATTCTGAAACCTGGCAAACAGAATCTTATGCAGGCAGTGGGCATGAGAAGACAATCGATTCATGATTCTGCAAGATGCTCAGGGACTAGTAGCTTTGGGTGGCTCTGGAACGAGTTATGAAGGGAGACAGAGAGGGTCGGAAGCTGTTTAAGCAGTTTTAGATTTGTAGATCCTTTACTTCATTCTGTTGGGAAAATATCCCTTAGGCATTCCAACAAAAGCAGAGCCAGGGGGCCCCTGGGTTGGGGATACCAGGAGGGTAGATTCAGTGACTACCTGTAGTTGGCCCTTCATATCAGTGGGTTCTGCTTCTGTGGGTCTTACTGTTATGGTTTAGATATGTGTCCCCCAAAAGCTCACGTGTCAGACAATGCAGGTTTAGAGGTTTAGAAGTGAAACGTCTGGGTTATGAGAGCCTTAACCCAATCAGTGAATGAACCCCCCCCCCATAGGGATTAACTGGGTGGTAACTGTAGGCAGGTAGGATATGGCTGGAGGAGGTGGGTCCCTGGGGGGATGTGCCTGTTAGGCATATATTTTGTCTTTGGTGAGTGGAGCTCTCTCTCTCTCTGCTTCCTGATGCCACATCCTGAACTGTTTTCCTCCGCCACACTCTTCTGCCATGATATTCTGCCTCACCTTGCTATCTGTGGATCAAGACCTCTGAAACCGTGAGACCCCCAAACTTTTCCTCCTGTAAATTTTCTTCCCTAAAATTGTTCTTGACAAGTCTTTTGGTCATAGCAGAAAAACAAACAAACAAACAAACACAACAACAACAAAAACCCAAAACAACACAACAACAACAACAACAAAGGACTAAAACACTTACCAGCTGTAGATAAAAAACATTCTACAAAAACTGCATCTGGGGGCTGGGATTGTGGCTCAGTGGTAGAGCGCTTGCCTCACATGCTTGAGGCACTGGGTTCAATCCTTAGCACCACATAAAAAAATAAAAAATTAAAAAATACCAAATAAAATAAAGATGTTGTAAAAAAAATTGCATCTGTCCTGAACTAACTCATCATTCTTTTCTTGCAATTCTCTAAACAGTAAGGTCTAACAATTATTTATATAACATTTACATTGTATTAGGTATTACAAGCGATCTAGAGATGGTTTAAAGTGCGTGGGAGGATGTGCCCAGGTTATATTCAAATACAGTGCCATTTGATATAAGAGATGCAGGAATGCGAGGGGAATGTCCAGGAATCAGCCCCCACAAATTCCCAGGGACAATTATACATACTGAATTCTTCATTCCTTGCTTCCTCTTCACTCTTGATTCTGAGTTACTGAGAGAACACTGAGTCTCTAAAGGAAAAACATCCCTGTTAAAATATAGAACAAATAATTAATAAACCGTTTGTGAGCCAGGTAAAGAAGCTGAGGAACAAAAAAGGGCCAGAATGTAAGGACACAGTGAACGGCTCATAAGTCACTTTGTAACTTTGCAGTTCCTTATAAATTTTCTGGAATGTAGCAAAACGGGAAGGAGACCTCAATAAAAACAGACCATGAACCTCATGAGACCAGGAGCTAATATTGAATTGAACCATGAACTTTTGGCCTGCTCACCCTATCCAACACCTGACTGCCAGAGACACTCATGTAGGGTGAAACCTGCATGCCAGACCAGACTCCCTAGTGGGTAAACAGCATCTTGCTCAATATTTCCCAGCCACGAGAAAGCCAGCTTCTTTGGCTCATACATATTCAACTAATTATGTACAGACTTCACCTTAAGCCTTGGCATATGCCTTGCTCCCAAGATTGTCTTCATTCTGCTCTGAGAGTATCCACTTTCATTTTCTGTAATAAACATCCTTTTTTTTTGCTACTAAGAGCTGGTCTGGGGATATAGCTCTGTTGGTAGAGTGCTTGCCTTGCATGCATAAGGCCCTGGGCAACACACACACACACACACACACACAAATTTCTTTCTGCAGTTGTCAAGCAACTAGAAAGTTTGAGTAGAGATCTCCCTTGGACCCCTGTACAATGACAGTTGTGTCAACAAAAATTCACTAGGAAAGAATTAAAAGGAGGCCTTATTTCAAAAAGTAGTTTGTAAACTGGGAATGTCACAGGAAGAAGGGTCCAAGGAGTTCTCAGAGAGAAGAAGGAACTTGTCTTGAGACCAGAGGGATTCTTGGCATGTGTGACAGAAAAGAATTTCAGCACATGGCAGTCAAAAGCATAGACAGAGGCTTATTTAAGAAAGTTGAACACATTCAAGGGAGAATGGGGACAATCTCAAGAGAGATAACAATGGGCTGGTGTGGGGTATTAAGATTGACAGAAGCTCATTGCTAGGAGCTGGACTAGAAGCGGAACTACACAATTTCATGCCAGTTTTCCCTGCACTTGAGCATTGCCTTCCTGTTCCAAGGGCATGTCACTCAGGAGTTACAATTGCTTATGGGTGCTTTTTGCATTTCAGTGGCTTATGGGCACTTCCTCTGAGATTCAGTATCTTTCCCTTTATTCCAAAAGTCCTACCTCAGGAAGACACAGACTTCAATACAAAAGAAAAGTGTACGTCAAAGGAACAAAGAGAGGGGCTTGCTTATTTAGAGAAAGTTCCCCACCCAGGTCCCACTCTGGTCCCACTATATAAATGAAGAACACAGCATGGGAGAAGCAGTTAGTACTGATTGGTTGGTTTCAGGTCACAGCCCCATTGATCACATCTAGGTGGCAAAATGGGAGGTCACAGAGGTGGTTTATCTTGGCAGTTGAAACAGGAACATGCCCAGGCAAAAGCCACAAAGTTAAGTTTGTGTTGCCTCTAGGAACAGAGTGTGTATGACCCCCAGTCAGCAAACAACTACCAGATTCCATTTTGAATTTGGGCCCAGTTTGCCACTTAGAACCTTTCTTAGAGATGCAGCTTTTCTTAAGGTCCAAAGTTCCAGAAACCTAGCAGCCCAGGTTTTACCTTCCAGTTACAGGAGTCTGGAAGAGTGTCCTCTTAGGAATGTCAACAGCCCAAGAGGAAAAAGCACAAAGACTGATAATGGGGATTCCCCAACAAAAGATCCATAAATATTATCCTTCAGTACAGAACCCAGTTAAAATCCCCACCCAACACTCAGAACTTACAGTTTCATTAAAAAAAAAACTCTTTAGTATGGAATAGGTTGAGAAATGTGCAAAGATACCATCTCCTTATACCTTTCACCTAATAAACCTTTTAGTCTCTCACTCTCAAACATGAGACTGCCACAGATTGCCAGACATTAAAAGGATTTTAACATAAAAGACAGATGAGCAAATAAATAGAAAAAAACAATTTGAGGAAACTGAAACAGAAGAAAGTTCATAAAGAAGAAACACTGGCACTAATGTCCTCAGGTAAGAAGACAGTGCCTCCACAAAAGACGGGAACCTATTTTTCAAAGAGCAGAAACACAGAGAAACTTTGAAAGTAAAACCATGATAGCAAAATTTAAAAATTCAATAGGTGTTTGGGGAAAACAAGTTATGGAAATTTATCAGAAAGCACAGTCAGAAGCAAAGAGATGGAGAGAAAAAAGGGAAGGAGATTAGAAGGGTTCCCAAGAGAGGAAAAACATGGATTTTTGAGAATTATCAAGGAAACAATTCTAAATAATCTTCCAGAACTGAAATGTACAGGTTGCAAACTGAAAAAAAATTCCCAGTGGGAGGGGAGGGGAGGGGGCATGGGTTTAGAAATGATGGTGGAATGTGATGGACATCATTACCCTAAGTACATGTATGAAGACACGAATTGGTGTGAATATACTTTGTATTCAACCAGAGATGTGAAAAATTGTGCTCTATATGTGCAATAAGAATTGTAATGCATTCTACTGTCATATATAAATAAAAAATTAATTTAAAAAATTTCCTAGAAGACAGCACAATGAAAAAGGAAAGAAAGAAAAAATGAACCACAATAAAGCGTATCATCCTAAAACTTCAGAATAGAGAAGAAAAAGTAACATTCTGCAGTCTTCCAGAAGACTGAAAGTGCAGAAGAATAAAAATCTGATTTGGAATCAGAATGAATTTGAAATTCTCCACAGCGGCCCTGGAAATGAAAAGACTGTTGAAGAATGCCTCCCAGGTCCTAAGGGGAGAACGGCATCCAAGTCCGACTCCTATATCCAGCCAAACTAAAAATGGAATGTGAGGATAGAACAAAGGAGATTTTTCAGACCTGCAGAATCTCAACACATTTCTTAAGTTCTGTGACTCAGAAAAATTTTTAAGTTTGTGCTTCCTTAAAATGAGGAAGTAAACTAAGAAAGAGAAAGGCATGGGACCGGAGACCCAGGAATCCAAGGAGAAACAAAGCAGATCCTTGAATGATGGTGAAGGACATCCTAGGAGGTCCGCAGTGCACCAGATATAGAAAAATATTCATCCAGATTGAAACATGGTGATTCACTGGATAAGCATTGCCACCATCAAAATGTTATGCCTTTCTTTTTCTTCTGCTTGTTGATGCTATTGGTCCAGACCACCACTGTGCATTACACAGCACAGGTTAGTGGTTAAAGACTGTGACTTAGGGAATCTCAGCTCTGCTATTTATAGCAGCGTGACCTTAGAAATAACATAGACCTTATGCTATGGAGATTCATCTATAATTTGGTGACAATAATAACTTCTGTCTTATACGGTTATTGTGAGGATTAACTGAGTAAAAACCCAAGAAATGTAAAAGAAGAGTACCTGAAAAAAACAATCCACCTTGTTAGACATCAGAACAGCTCTTTGGGGACAGGAGAGATGGGCTTAGGTGGTAATGTGAAGGGAGCCCTAGGAAGGCTTCTAGTTCTAGAACACAATCTTTTATTTTTTCATTTGAGTGTTAATATTTTTAAAATTTAAAATTTAAATTTATTTATTTATTCTAATTAGGTATATATGACAACAGAATGCATTTTGATTCATTGTACACAGTTGCAGCACAACTTTTCATTTCTCTGGTTGTACACAATGTAGCATCATACCATTTGTGCAGTCATACACATACCTAGGAAAATGATGTCCATCTCATGCCACCATCTTTCCTGCCCCCATTCCCCTCCCTTGAGTGTAATTTCAAAGTGTATTCAATGTGTGAAATTCATTGTGCTATATGCTTAAGATATTTGCAATTTTCATGCATGTATTATATTTCTTTAGAAAATTATGTTTTAAAAATGTATGCCTGAAAATTACAGGGAGGTCAACTAGCATGAGACCACCGCGTCTGTCTTCCCTTTTGATTGGTGTGGCATCGTCATAGGTCACTCTGTGATCTGGTTGCCTAGGTAACCGAGACAATTGCCCGATCTTTAGGGTGCAAGCGATGCGACTGTGTTTTCATGCATGGGTGTGCCTTCCCACGTCCCCATGGGTGGAGTTATGCTCACCTGTTCCTTTGTAATGTTACCTCTTGCCCTGTTGGAGATAGAATGTTCCATGGAAATGCCTTTTGTGTGTCCCCTTCTCTTACACTGCCCTTGGGTGTGGCCTACCCAGGTGTCAGTCAACCTGGTGACAATAGACATTATGAAGCTAGACTCAGCCCCTTGAAACCTGACCCCTTGGCTCATTTGAATGGTTTCTCCTCAATAAAAGGGGTCAGCACATGCTCATGCACTCTCTCTCTCTGGATCCTTAAGGTCAGAGGAGCTGTCACAGCACCCCAAAGAAAAAGGTATTTCTGTCTCTTGTGTGGTTATTTTCTGCAGACCAATTAGCCCAGTTCTGCTGGAGTAACCCCTGAGCCTTTTAGTTGTGAACATAAACCCGGCACAGGTGGGCAGAGGGGATGACATTCATAAGGCCCACAGGGCCACTGCTAAGTTGTCCCAGGATCACCCACCACACCCAAGAAGGGACAACACCCTTGGAAAGAAAAGGATGTGATTCCATTGGGAGGGCTTGAGTGTTGTAACTTTCTTCTTCTTCTTGTTTTTTTTTTAAAGAGAGAGAGAGAAAGAGAGAGAGAGAGAGAGAGAGAGAGAGAGAGAGAGAGAGAGAGAATTTTTAATATTTATTTTTCATTTTTCGGTGGACACAACATCTTTATTTCACTTCTATGGGGTGCTTAGGATCGAACCCAGCACCACACGCATGCCAGGCGAGCGGGTTACCGCTTGAGCCACATCCCCAGCCTCTGTACCTTTCTTCTTGATCCCCACAATTCTTCTTCTATACATTTTTGTGCATTTTCCCCAAGGGACAGAACCCTGGAGAAACATGTTCTCTGCTGGGTGCTTAGATCACAGAGAATGCAGTGTTCTCCTGTTGTGTGTCAGGGAGATCTTCATCAATTTGTGGAAGCATTTCTGCATGTCTCTGTGTATTGGAATGTGTACCCTCTGCCAGGGGCTACCAAACGTCTTGTGTCAGGGGACCTGGGAAACCTTCCAGACTCTGTTGCTCAGGCAGGAGTTCAATGCAGCATTTGAGATGAGGATGGCTCTGAGATAAAGAGATGATAGAGCTGTTAGACACGCTAGCCAGAAATAAAGGACTGGATGGGAGACAGATT